GGCCAGCACGTACACCCAAGTCATGCGGGTGTAGACGTCGACAATGGTGAGAAAATACTCAGCTCCAGCAGCTCCAAGCTTCAGGGGGCCCACCACGTCCATCACCACCTCATCAAGCGGTGCTTTTGCCGTTGCCTCCGAACTAGGGAACGGAAACCGGGTGAACTTGGCTTGAATGCACGTCGGGCAGCCAAGCACCTCATCGGGCTCCCCCTTCACACGTATGCCAGCAACCATCTCATTCTTCATTAGCTGCTGCAAGATGGGCAGGGCCACATGCCCCATGCGCCGATGCAAGGTGAGCCAATCACACTCCCCCGTAGCCGAAGTTGGATTGGAGAATGCCGCGCTCGCAATAGCGCCCCACATACTCTCTCCGTAGTCCTCCTCCGCTGCTGCCTCTGGGTTCTCCTCACCCTTTTGCTGCTCCTTGGTTGCTGCACCACTCTCCTTAGGTTCACTGAACTTGCTGGTCCCTCCAGGTTTGCTCTTCTTGAGCTCATTCTCCTTAGCGCGACCGTTCGTCGCTACCGACCGCTCCATCCTTGGTGCTGATGCTTGCTGCCACTTGCCTCTCCTTAGGCATAGGGACCACTGGGATCTGCCACATCTCATTGTAGACATCCCTGTCCTGATGAAGGTCCCAAAGAATTCGATCGCCAAGCCTTGCGGTGTAGGTCTTGGCTCCCTTCGAGTTCGTGTCCATGCCGGCCTTTGCCAACCGCCGCACGGAAATCAGGTTTGCAGCAAGGCTGGGCACCCAAAGCACGTTCTTGAGGCCCACCATCTTCCCATCAGCACCCTTGAACATGGCCTTGCCCATGCCTTTCACCTCTGCTCGCTGCCCCAAAGCCGATGTGACATGCTTCACCGGTGACGGCTCGAGTTCGGTGAGCAAGTCCGGGCGAGGTGTCATGCTATAGGTAGCGCCACTATCAATCACCCAATAGTCCAGGGGGTGTAGGGTCACCTTCCCCACAGCTGCTGGCTCCTCAAAGCCTTCATCCTTCTCTGGACCAGCCGGTACTTGCGTCGACACGAAGTAGAATAGACCCGGGTATCGATCGTCGCTCGGGTCCTTGTCGTTGTCTCCGCTCTTCATGTTTGCAGCTCCGCCACCGCGACCGCCACGGCCTCCACGGCCTCGTCCTCTCCCTCCTCCTGCTCCTCTACCCTCTTGGCCTTGAGCAGGGGTCCAACCATCAGGGAGTTTGTAGCAGTCGCGCCACATGTGTCCGCTCTTGTGGCAATAGTGACACTCGCCGTCGAATCGGCCGCGACCGCGTCCGTAGCTCTTGTCGTCGCTGCCGTAACCGCCACTCCTGCGGCCTCCGCCGAAGTTGCTGCCACCAAACCTTCCTCCCCCTCGTCCTCTGTCTCTTCCTCGACCATATCCACGGCCGATGCTCGCTGCCCCAGCGCCATCCGCACTCGCCAACTCACGGCGGCGGAAATCCTCTTGAAGGATAGCTCGCTTCACGTCTTCAAGCGAGAGGCGGGGCAAGTCGCGATTAAGGTTGATGATGAGCGAGAACCATGACTCTGGGAGTAAGGCCAGCAACTTGGTCTTCTTTTGGAGCTCACTGTAGTTCAAATCAGCTCCCTCAAGCCGCGTCAACAAGTCGAAGAATTTCTGCACCCCTTCTTCAACCGCTTCGTTTTCTTCAATTCGTAGTGCCGCCATTTGTCGTTCCAACACCACCGCTACCGTCGCTGTTGCAGGAGCATGTACACCCTTGAGAGCAGCCCATGCCTTTGGTCCTTTCTCTGGTTCACGCTGGAATGGCTTGATGTGACGGATCTGACTGCTCCCCAACGCTTGCCCAAGTAAGAGATAGCCTTGTGCGCTCTTCTGCACCCACGGGCTCTTCTCCGGGTCGTTCTCGGGGCGCTTCTCCGTTCCTTCCATCACCTCCAGCAGGTCATAGTGGTCAAAGATGTTCCCCATCTTGAAGGACCATTCAGCAAAGTTGTCACCGTTGAACTTGTCAAGCCCAAACACCCTAGGCTCATCCCTAGGTGGGCCAAGACTTGGTTGCATGGGCGCCATGGCTGAATCACGGGGTTGGCCTTGAGCTTGAGCTTCTCCACTGCCACCAGCACCTCTGCCACCCCTTTCCTCAGGTCCAGACATTGTCGAAACTGCTCCAAGGGGCTCTGATACCACTTGTTATAGTCACAATAGGCTTGAATGTGCCTAAAACGAAAGATAGAGAGCACAGACGGATTTCTGCACAGCGGCTTCAAACGTTGATAGCGTTCTGCTCACAGCTGCAAATGACTTGATTCAAATTGGATCTGGAGCGTCTTTACGTCGTCTACAATTATCAATTTAGATTTCACGATTTGATAAAGAATTGACGACACAGCGTCGGTTTGAACGAACGGTACTATGGCAGCCACTATAGTCTTAGAACACAAGATAGGAAGAGTTACGAGTTGGGAATGACTCCCAGCTCCTACAAACCCCAAGAGCCGAGGTACAGTGATGTGGAACAGTGCCACACTGTCCCCAACCACGAGGGGTCTCGAAACTACCCTTCACTAGGGCCTACACCAAGTGAAATGTTACACTACACAAAGTAATGTAACTATCTTCAATATCTTGAGGTGTACCCTTTTGGCGAGCTTCGAAATCACTTGAGGCTTGACACCAAGGCTCGGGCTCTTCATCACAAACTCATCCTTGAGTTCTTGATGGGTCTGCTGCACACACCTGCGACACGCCGAACGTTCGACACAGGACAAAATAGAAACCGCGCACGACAAAATAGAAACCGCGCGCGAGACACAAACGACCGCGTAACACGCGTCTAGCGATAACTCGCTATTGACTCGACACACACACTCGACATCATGACTCAACATTCACACACAATTATAAGCATGAAATATACATTATCCCATGCCCTCATACCATTCCATACACACACACATTCACGCACACGGACAACAAGCCGAGTGCAAACCGTAGGGTTGCACCAACAAGGTCGGGATGGGTATTGAGCAAAAATGAAATGAAAATGACGCCCCCTCAGCAACAGAGGTAGCAAGAACAAGGTTGTGGTTCTCATAGCTTTTGTTAGGGATGTTGGTTTTGAGGGATGCTATTTAGGCCTAGAGAGATGTACTTATGCTGTTTTCTTTGGTGATTGCCTTTCATTTCCTTGTATTGCTATGCAAGCAAAACAATCATTTGGTTCTGTCCGTTACCCAGAACTAGGTGGCTGTCCGCCACAAGGCCCCTGTTGTGCTCCATAGCAGCCTCCCAGCTCAAGAGGGCAGGGGGCGCTTCTTGTCTATCACTCTTGGAAATACTCAACTCGACTGATCCAAATTCGAAAGAACTACAACAACTGTGGGGTTTCACTGGCTTCGAGAGGATGGAGTGGTTGGCTGGGGAAGGCGAAGATTGAATCAAATCGAATGGAGAAAATAGAGATGCGACTCGGGACAGCGAAAGCGCAGTTGAGCTGCATCACAGGTAAAACGCGTCGGGGCTGGGCTGTCGCTGTGCGACCCATTCGACGCGCGAATATTGAACAACCAATGGGTGTGCGCCATAACAACTCTGATTGGGTCTGTGACGGCAAAATTGCGCGACGCGCCGACGCGCAAACTTTTTTTGATCCCATTAACCAAGCTCGCACCGCAGGTAGGGCGACCGAACCCCTCGCGAATGAATCGACCTACAAACACTTACGCGATATTGACAGCCAATTCAATGTGTACGAATTGGTGGTCTTTCTAATTGTCACTGTATCACGTGGGATAATGTTTGCCAGGTGGTTTTCGTGTTTTCGTAAAAACAAGGTCGCTATTGTGGCTACATTGCCGTGACCTTACAAAGTTTTGGTTGTTTTGTCTGTTTCTGATGACGCAAAAATGTTTCGTGCGCGTGTCACGTTTTTTGTCTACATGCTTTTTTTTTTTCCGCGTGTCAATCGCGATTTTCTGAACCATCTACGGAGCTCTGAATCTAAGCAGGGGCTGAAAAAAAATAAACCCCTAAAGGCAGGAACGCAATTCGGGAGGCATCAACCCTAAACACGGGGAACATGGTGTTTAGGGTTAATGCCTTGAATGTGGTGCAATACGGGAGGGATCAACCCTAAACACGGGAAATGTCAAGGTGTTTAGGGTTGATGCATTGAAAGTGTGTCTGGTTCCTTACGGGGTTTAGTTCGTTTTCCACCGTATAAAAAACCAGACCAAACAGAAACATCATAAGACAAGCCTTTTCTGCGCGACCAGACTGAAGTGACGTCACACGCCGCAAACTTTGTCTTTGACCAAAGGATCGAAACCCCAAGCTGTAATCCCGCGATTCTGTCCGTAAAACCAAATGGCACTGTAACGTCAAGAGGTCCTCGTCTGAAGCATGAAAATAACGTGAAAGCGCATGTAGGTCGATCCATTTGGACGAGGTTCGGTCGCCCTACCTGCGGTGCGAGCTTGGTCAATGGGATTAAGAAAAGTTCGTGCGTCGGCACGTCGCGCAATTTTGCCGTCTGTGACTTTGTGAACTTGACGAAGGCGTATCGCAGCCCTCTCTTATTGAATGGACGGGCTCAAACGAGGGGGCGGTGCCCCTGAGCTATGCGCCTATTCTCGATTCAATCACAAAGCCCTTCGAGAAAATGACAAACCAAACCATTTACATCTATCTTACAAGAGTACAGCGCTCAAGATGCGGTATAGTCTGTTGATAATTATTTTGCCAGCTACATCCTCTACTGATTGTACGTGTTTAAGTGTGGTTCAAAACTTTAGAGCTGACATACATCATACTACCACCATCAACGTTAGGGGCAAAGTCATTGCAACAATATACCCGAGAAAAAAATGTAGACACATATGTGCACATTAGCTATATGAGTGTGAAACAGCTGAAATTTAGCTGCTGTCTTGTTGTCAAGCAGAGACCGCTCCAAGGTCTACATGATATTGTGCTGCACAGCACATAACCCCTTCGTATTCCACAGTACCTTCATCCTCCCTCAGTCATATGTCTGCCTCAACTGCATCTCTGTCTCACTCTTCCATGTGGCATGCGATGATTGGCCCTTCATTCGCTTCGATTTCTCCTTGTCCTTGACTTTACTGTCCCCTTCCCGCCTTTTTGATTTCTCTCTGCCCGCTGCCACGTCAGCATCCCCTGCTGGCCTATCGCGGCAAATCGGGCAGACCACACCCTGCCCCGAGGAAGGAGTTTTAGGAACCTGACAGGTCGGGCAGATCCTGCAGTGTTTGGGACGTTCGGGCAGAGTGAGAAAGGGGAAAAGGGAGAGGTGTGGGTGAAGTTATTACTAAAACAAAAACAAGACTAAATGAAGTCAAAACTGGGACTAGACGATAAAACTTGAAAAAAACTGCCCAGCTCGACCACCAAGCCAGTTTGAGACGTCTCAAAACTAATGAAGTCAAAACCTGGGACTATAAAATTGTAAACAAGACTTAAATCAAGTCAACAGTAAAACTTGAAAACAACTGCCCAGCTCGACCACCAAGCCCACCTTTTCTCCCTCCCCCCACCCCCCCTCCCCCTTCCCCCTACTCTCCCCTTCACTTACCCATTGTTACCCATTTTTTTTGTCCAAAAAATCACCCACCCCAACAACACCTTTCTGCACCTCTTTCCACCTTTCAACCCCAGACCGAAACATTACTTTCCTCACCTCCCCCCCAACCCTACCCGCAAGAGGCGATCCACAGCATCGGCTTCAGAAGGCAATTACACCTCCCTCCATACACCTTGCACCACTCTGCACCTCTACCCACCTGAGGAGATCCACAGCATCGGCTTCAGAAGGCAAGGACCCATACTTACCTCCCTGCAACCACTACCCATTTGCACCACTCTGCACCTCTACCCACCTGAGGAGATCCACAGCATCGGCTTCAGAAGGCAAGGACCCATACTTACCTCCCTGCAACCACTACTCATTTGCACCACTCTGCACCTCTACCCACCTGAGGAGATCCACAGCATCGGCCTCAGAAGGCATTACACCTCCTTCCATACACCTTGCACCACTCTGCACCTCTACCCACCTGAGGATATCCACAGCATCGGCCTCAAAAGTCAAGGAACCATACTTACCTCCCTGCAACCAGCCCTTATGCACCTCCCTACACCTCTCTGCACCTCTCTGCACCTCTCTGCACCTCTCTGCACTTCTCTGCACCTCTTCCTCCCGACTAAACCGTTTCATATTCATTATTCCCCGTATCCCACCCACCTGAGTAAATCCACTGCATCTGCTTTAGGTGGCATTGAAACGCCCACTGCCTTTCTGCCACGTGTCGCATCCCCATTTGCTGCGTCGGAGCCTTCTGCTCCCTCTTCCCCCCCTTCCACAGCAGCAGGTTCAGCAGCAGGGGCGTTAGGGTTTCTCACAGGTGCTGCTACAATCTCCCGTGCTGGAAGGGGGGAGATTACAGGGAAGGGAGGCAAGGGAATGGGTGAATGAAGGGACATTATATTTTGCACTGCAGCAGCGGCAGCAGCAGGGGCGTTAGGATTTCTCACAGGTGCTGTTACGATCTCCCGTACTGGAAGGGGTTACGGGGCAGAGATAGAAGAGGTGAAGGGAAGGGGCGGTATGTTTTTCCAAAGCAGCAGCAGCAGCAGGTTCAGCAGCAGGGGCGTTCTGGTTTCTCACAGGTGCTGCTACGATCTCCCGTACTGGAAGGGGGAGGGGGAGGCAAGGGAATGGGTAAATGGAGGGACAGATTATATCTTGCACTGCAGCAGCTGCAGCAGCAGGGTCAGCAGCAGCAACAGCAGCAGCCGCAGGGGCGTTTGGGATTCTTACGGAAACCCCGGAAAGAGGGAGATAACAGGTGGGAGGGGGCAAGGGAATGGATTAATAGAGGGTCATATGTATTAAGACCCAGCACTGCAGTAGCAGCAGCAGCAGCAGCAGCAGGGGAGTTTCGGTTTCTCACAAGTGCTGCTACGATCTCCCGTACTGGAAAAGGGGCGAAGGGGGGGAGAGGGCAGGAGCAGAAGAGGGAGCAAGCAGGAGGCAGAGGAGATGGGCTAAAGAGCGTTTCCACTGCAGCAGGGTTAGCAGCTGCAGCAGCGGCAGCAGCATTGTGCAGCTGCAGCCGCGACAGCAGCGGCAGCAGCATTGTGCGGTACCGATCAAGGCGTGATTGGGTTCGTCCATCCGCCGAAACTAGTTTACGCAAGGAGGCTTTTCGGAAGCTAAGGGTTTTTCCAGATCTGCATTTTTCACACTCGTTTTTTAACTGTTGATCCTTTGCTTAAGCGTCTTTACAACTACTGCAGCCCTTCAAGTATGAGTCAAGGTGACCCTTGAGATGGGCTAAAGAGCGTTTCCACTGCAGCAGGGTTAGTAGCAGCTGCAGCAGGGTTAGCAGCTGCAGCAGCGGCAGCAGCAGGGGCAGCAGGCGCAGGTGCAGTGACAGCGTGTGGAAGGGGAGGGGCGCTGGAAGATCCAGGGAATGAAGGTTCGGGTTCTGAAGGAGGCGACTCAAAAGTCGTCTCATGTCTCGCGGTTTTTATATGGCGCGCTGGAAGATCCAGGGAATGAAGGTTCGGGTTCAGCAGAATCTAGAAAACTCACCCCCACCACCGACCCCCTAAGACCCCCTCTCTCGGTACACCACCGTCGCAGGAGCAGGAGGCAAGAGATATAAGGTGCTCTTAGAGATTCAAGCCTGAAGGTTCGGGTTCAATACAAGTTCAAAGACTCACCCCCTGCCTGCCTGTCTCGGTACACCACCACTGCAGAAGCAGCCGCAGCCACCCCTGAGAAGCGGTGGAGAAGAGTGTCTCTTCGCAGCCACCCCTGAGAAGCGGTGGAGAAGAGTGTCTCTTCGCAGCCACCCCTGAGAAGCGGTTGAGAAGAGTGTCTCTTCGCAGCCACCCCTGAGAAGCGGTTGAGAAGAGTGTCTCTTCGCAGCCACCCCTGAGAAGCGGTTGAGAAGAGTGTCTCTTCGCAGCCACCCCCACAACAGACACACTGAGAAGAGGATAGTGCACGGCCACTCTGTCTCACTCACCCCAACCCCCACACCACCCACTCACCCCCACCACCAACGCCTCCTGCTCGTCTTTCTCGGTACACCACCGCTGCAGGAGCAGCCGCAGTCACCCCCACAACAGACACACTGAGAAGCGGATAGTACACGGCCACTCTGTCTCACTCACCCCAACCCCCACACCACCCACTCACCCCCACCACCGACTCCCCCAGCCCGCCTCTCTCGGTACACCACCCACCGCTGCAGGAGGCCTGTGGTGTGAAGGTGTGCGGTGTGGTGTGGAGGGTTCTAAGTGTGATCTTTAAACTCACCCCCACCACCGACTCCCCCAGCCCGCCTCTCTCGGTACACCACCGCTGCAGGAGCAGCTGCAGGCGCCCCCGCGACAGTCACGATGCCACGTGGCGCCTCCTCATTGGCCGATCCCATGGCAACGAGCTTCCCGGCGCGGGCTATATGCATGTGGTGGGATAGGGCCGTGGGGGCGAGGAAGGATGGCGGCCCCCCTACCTGAGGGAATGCATCAGAGGGGGGAGGTCAAGGGAGGGGGGAAAGGAAACAGTTATCGGTTTGCTAGTGCGGGCTATACGCATGTGGTGGGATAGATAGGGCCGGTGGGACAAGGAAGGACGGTTGGTCTTCCTACCTGAGGGAATGACACTGACAGGGAGGGAGGGAGTGGAGGGTGGGGAAGGGGAAATGAGGGAAGCGAGGGAGGCAGCAACGAGCTTGCCGGTGCGGGCTACATGCATGTGGTGGGATAGGGCCGTTGGGGTGAGGAAGGACGGTGGTCCTCCAACCTGAGGGAGAGATAAAGACAAGGAGGGAGAGGAGAGGAGTGGAAATGAGGGAAGAGAGGGAGTGGCAATGTGGAAATGAGCTTGCCGGTGCGGGGTATGTGCAGGTGGTGGGATAGGGTCGTTGGGGCAAGGAAGGACGGTGGTTCCTCCACCCAAGAGGAGGACAAACAGGGGGTGAATAATTTTGGCAGTGCGAGCTATATGCATGTGGTGGGATAGGGCCGTTGGGGTGAGGAAGGACGGTGGTCCCTCCACCTGTAAAATAACTAAGACAGGGAGGGAAGGAGAGGAGGGCAGGGGATTGAGGGAAGAGAGGGAGTGGCAACGAGCTATGTGCATGTGGTGGGATATGGCAGTGGCTGCGAGGAAAGTCGGTAGCCCCTCCAAATGGGAAATGCTTTTGAGTCGACTCAAAAGTCGCTATGTGCATGTGGTGGGATAGGGCAGTGGCTGCCTGCGAGGAAGGACGGTAGTCCCTCTTTATGGGAAATAGCACAGACAAGGAGGGAGAGGACAGGAGGGTAGGGAAGTGAGGGAGGAGAGGGCACTCTTCATACCCTAGCTTTCATTGAGGTGAGTTTTGAGGTGCCTCAAAACTCACCTCAAGGCAGGGAAGTGAGGGAGGAGGGCGCACTCTTCATACCCTAGCTTTCCCCCACCTCACCCCACCTTCTGCTTCCAATACCCACCCCGCTTGCTCTCCCTGTCCCTCATCACCTCCGCACCTTTACCGCAGCACCGGCCTAGAAGCACGAGTTACCGCTTCGAACCAAACCGTAATCCCGTGTGTCCTTTACCACTCCTCTCACCCATTCACTACCCCCTCCTCCTCCTTCCCAACCCTAATTTCCTCTACCCTCTTCCATCCCTCCCTCCCACCCCTTCCTCCTCTCCTCCACGCCATTGCCACAGCACCGGAATAGAAGCTCCAGTCACCACTTAGAAGCTCCTCTCCTCCACTTCCATTCCACTCACCCATTCGCTACCCCGTCCTCTCCCCCCCCCTCACCCCCCCTTCTATCCAGAATTTCCCGGTCCTTCTTCCCTCCCTCAACCCCAACCCCTCCTCCTCTCCTCCACACCAATTGCCGCCGCACCGGAATAGAAGTGCACCGCTTCGAACCGGACCGTAATCCCGAGGGTCCTTTCCCGTACCTCTCCCTCACTCGGTATAACCTCTTCCCCCCCTCTACTAACCCTAAATTTCCCTCCCCTCTTCCCTCCCTCCCATCGCCCGTCCTCCTCTCCTCTATTCCATTGCCGCAGCACCGGCCTAGAAGTACCACGCACCGCTTCGAACGCCGCTGCAGCGGACGGCAATCCCGAGGGTCCTTTCTCCGGCAAAAACCCAGCAGCCGTTCGTCTCACGCCGCCTATTCTACCGGCCGCCAGCGCTCCTCCGGCATTCCTACCGGCCGTCGCCGCTCCTCCCGCGTTTTCCTTCCCGCCGCTATTTTCTCCGTTCCGCGAAGCGTCTTCTGCCTCCGCATCCTCCGCATCTTCCGCGTCTTCGGAATCGCTGCCTGATGAATCCGACGAATTGTCTCCTTGCTCGAAAGCAGCGCTCTTTAGACGCGCTTCTTCCTCGTCTGAATCGTAGCTCTGAACGAGCTGAAGGCTCATGGCAGCGAAAATCCTAGTAACTACTACAAACGTCGCTGGTTCTTGCTGCGTATAAGAATGTTTCCCCCCCACAAAAACGAAAGATAACTCGAGCTTTTGAGATAATACGCCTGCGCTTTTGATATGAGATTCACGGTATCTGTACGAAAAATATTGAAAGGAGAGTTGGTACTGAAAGCGTCGTGCAGTACCTTAAAATCGGAATTGAATGTTAGCGAGGTTAAACACGGTGCAGGTAGTTTCAGTGAGATAACGTTGCTGAAGAACAATGGTCGGAAGGTGATAGTGAGTGGGTGATTTTGATGCAGAACGTTTTGGAACTCAAAATGATTGGAGAGAATTGCTCGAGACCCTTGTTTCGTGATTCGGTGCTGCACACGTGGCCACCATTTGCTCGCGTGGTCCTACAATTGACTGATAATTGCTTGAGTGGCCTCGCCAGGGGGTTCTCAACATCTTTTTTAAAAGAAACCTTACCCTTCTTGTTACAATCCCAAGTGGGACTTAGCGAAGGATCGCTCAGGGTTGATCGCAAAGTAGTACTGCAGCGGAAGTTTGAATCTCAGGTCAGAGTGAATGTAAATGACTGAGTTGATAAAAGCATGCATACATCGAGTTTATATAAGAATACAGGGGAATACGAAAAGACTTAGACTAGCCATGTACTCTAAGGGGTACATTCCCTTAGTACAGCAAAGTCAAACCGTGCGGCGCGGGACCCCGTTTTGAACCTGTTCCCGCTCTTTTCATTTCAAATGTTTCTGCCTGCATCGGTCTTGGTCAGACGGTTGCTGCGTCGCTTCGACTCTTCTGACTCCTCGACTTCGTACTCGGTAGAGTCGGCTCCTGCAGCATACAGGAATGCCTTCTCATAAAACTTCATGAGGTATCCTTGAAAGTTTTATACTGGTTTTCGCGCGATGTTTTATATTCAAAATTTATGTTCGAGGCCCTATATGACCGCGCCTCATGGGACGTGCATGTAAACGACCAATGATGAGCAACCGCCACAACATCACATGCGGCAATGCTCCGCAACTACTCCGCCTCTTGGCGGCCATGGATTTTACCGAGCTCGTCCAAGTTAACGTCCTCGCTACAATGCATTCGGAGTCCTGACTCAATCTGTATTATCGCCGTTAACATTCACAATGGAAGCTCAGTCATTTCTGCTGACCTTGGGCTCTCCAGTTATCAGGCGAACTGTTTCAGGCTCGGTCACGCATTCCAAAGGTCGTGCAACTCACAAGTTCCTAACCATGGTTCTCACTATCGTGTATTGGCGTCATCAACAGCTGATGTATTTCAGCCTATTATTAAGAATGGCATCACCAAGGTACTACTCTCGGGATTACAACATTATCAGCATCAGCTGCGAGATCCTGGCAAGCCAGAAATACTACTTATTAAGGCTGTGCTCAGTCATCAGGCAGTACAAGTTTTTTCAGCCATCAAGTGCCGTCAGCACCTACTTCTTCTGCCTGGACCTCATCATTGCACGATGTCTCACCCAGCTGATGTCACGGTTCTGCCTAAGGGCCAGCGCTCCCGTCCTGCTGCTGACAAATTAACCTCCAACGGTGTTGATGGTCCTCCTGCACTGGATCAACAGTCGAGAAGTGTCATTGCTGACAATGTGGCTCAGAAAGACAACATCTCTGCGGTGACTGATAAGCTCAAAGGCGTTGATCTCTCCGTACCTGGTGGATCTGGACTTTCCGTGGCTGACAAAGCCGCCATGAACGCTGACGGTTACCTGGATGAGGACTCAGACGATGAGATGCTGATCGACCTGGACAAGGAGGCCGCGTCCCGGTTGCGTTCTGTCATTATCCTGCTGATTCCTATGATGCTTGAAAAGGAGGTTTCTTCTGTGATTGAGACTGTCAAGGCACTAATCAAGCGTGGTTGGTACACAGAACTATCTGATGGTGCTGCAGCAACGACCAAGTTTCAGGAACTGCTTCCTGCTTACGTCGCCAAGACGCGCTTCTGCCGCCTGCAAGTCTCCTTCGTCGAGGAATCTGATGCGCTTTGGGTGCAGAAAAAAGGACGTGGTGTATCAGCCGCTTACGAACATGGGTCAGCTGGTCACGCTGCACTGGCTGCATGCTGAGGACTTGTCTTACGCTCGTGAGAAGGCGATGAATCCGCTCGCCATCGAAGTCATGATCCGCGGTGTTTCTGCTGCTGTTGAACTGGATCTGCTTCATGACCGTCTGGCAACTTACAAGTTGAAGAGCACCCAGAAACCGGCCTTTCTGCGGTGCACGTGTCTTCATCGGGTGCTGCACCCGGTTACTGGAGCTGATACTGATGTGGTTAAGGTGCTGGTCTATGCTCACCTGGGCTCAAGCCGATGGATTCATGCTGTCGCGGATCCTGCTGATCGCGCTAAGAAGCTCCTCCTTCATTACCCTGCCTTATCCTGCGCGCTCTGTGGTGGCAAACATCATGATCAGTATCATGACGTTTTGATCACTAAGCGTCAGAATAACGTAGGCAAATGGAACCTTACACTGGGGAAGGTGCACAGGCTTAACGTTAAACGTTTTACGTACAACTCTCGCCGGTCTCCTTCTTCCTCTCTTACCTCAACCGCTAACATTTTGCTTGATCTTCGCAGCTACGTCGCTGAAAGCATCCTCGCTGATGCTCCCCATCCTCCGCGATCCGGCCATCGCCTTTGTCTCCACCGGCGGCAGCAGAGAAGACTGGATCTGCACGCAGGCAGGGTGCGGGAAGGCGAAGGGGAAGAGCTTCATGTCAGCGGCCGATCACATCACCGTTGCTGCTTATCTGCAGCAGCTGGAAAAGCCTGGAGCTGCCACGAAAGCCTCCCTCGACAGGATGAACCTCTCCGTCATCCGCAAGGAGTACGGCCTCTGACAGACTTTGATGATTACCTGACCGCTGCTGCTTGCTGGAGTCTTGGTGTTAGCGTTGCATGTGTAGCTTCTTTCCTCAGCCTGTGGATGATCAGGGGCTGCAAGGTGGTGTACCAATGATTATCAAGAACCATGTCACTTTCGCGAGCCTCAACGTAAACGGATTAGGTAACAAGACTAAGCAGAACCATGTAACTGACTGGATTAGGACAACCACAGACATCGCCATCCTTGTAGACACTAGAATCCAAGCACATCATACTTACTGGACAGAGCTCACCTCAGACTCCGCTATAGTTCTTACCTCTTCCCCATGCGCATCGGCCGGTGGTGTTGCAGTAGTATGCCGAGACCCATCCATCACCTTTCATGACTCACTAGCTCATTTCCTCAGGACGCATTGTTAGAACAACTGTCAGAGGCCCAGGCCTAGAAATCGTACTACTGGTGGTCTATTTTCCTGCAAACCCCACATCTAGGTCCGCTTTCCTCCGTGACTCCCTCGGGCCGTTAGTAGATCAGATTCCGCCAACTTCTCACTTACTGTTGATAGGAGACCTGAACCTGACTGAAAACTCCAGCTTGGATAGATCTTCGGGCTCGGGGTCATCCACTGAGAACGAGAAACTCTTCTTGCGCTGCACTAGCTTCCAACTCTCCGACGCATTCCGCACACTGCACCCGAGAGCTAGAGAATACACCTTCTATGATAGATCTCATCAAGCCAGCACACGAATAGACAAAGCTTTAGTCTCGCACTCGCTTCTTGCTCACCTCCTGCTAGCTTCCCATGACATGCCGAAAGAACCCATATCTGATCACGGATTCGCGATTAAGACGTCCTTCAGGCTTGACACAAAAGTCTGTGCAGGGCCGGGCATCTGGAGGCTACATGCCTCGATGGTACACAGGCCGGGAGTAAGGAGGATCATTGAGGCAACGGTCCGGCGGACACCTGTTCACGATGGGAGCAGTTTCGAAGTACTCATCTCTCGCCTTGGTGCTGGTCTGAGGTCATATGTGAGAGAGGAAAGCAAGAGGGTTAAAGCGACTTTGTCACATCTGGTTAACGCGGTAGCGGCCCTGAAGCAGGAACGGATGAGAAACCCAGCTTGCGACCGGACAAGGTTACTGGTGGAGGAGAGGGAGCTGCAATTAAAAGAGTATCAGGCGGCAAGGAGGGAGAGGTTACATCTGCAAGCGGGACTAAAGGAGGAGATGGCTGGGGAGGTAGCATCGCCTCACCTCTCAGCGAAAGTTCGTGCGAGGAAAGCGCGCACTCAAATTGCGGAGATAAATGAGGGGGGGGGTCTCGGTATCCGGCTCCAAGCTGGTATTGGAAGCGGCATCGAGATACTTCAAGAACATTTTCGGAAAGGACCGGCGCTCTGACTTCTCTGACTAGAATATGTCTCTGACAAGATGGTTAGAAGGGGGGATGGCGGAGTTTTTGGAGGCAGATTGGACGGAACAGGAGATTAAGACAGCCTTTGCAGCTATGGCAAAAAATAAGTCACCTGGTGGCGACGGTCTTCCGAAAGAACTATTTGAGGTCCACTGGGACCTGCTGGGGAGCAGCTTCATGGCCATGGCAAGAGACTTCGAAAAGTCGGCCTCGCTCCCGGCTGAAATCAAGGAGGCAGTCACGATTTTGCTGCACAAAAAAGGAGAACGGGATCAGCTCAACAATTACAGGCTGATTACTCTGTTGAATTTCTCCTACAAGGTGCTGGCACGTGTGATAGCCGATCGCATGAAAGCGGTGCTGCATCAGGTCATCTCACCCGAGCAATGCGGATTTTTACCGAGCAAAAGGCTGTCTGACGCAGTGGCAATGGTGGCAGATATGATCGATGCAGCAAAAAATGGAAATGAAGATTTGTATCTGCTCCTCGTTGACTTCCAAAAGGCCTTTGATTCAGTGTCCCGGGACTACCAAACCGTTTCGTGGACTGGACTACCAAACGGAAATGAGGATTGGTATCTGCTCCTCGTTGACTTCCAAACCTGTTCCAGGTTTTAAGGAGGATGGGGTTCCCGAACCGTTTCGTGGACTGGATTGAAGGGCTGCACAAGGACACAAAAACAAGGCTGCTGATTAATGGGTGGCTCGGAGAAGGGTTAGATGTGATATCCGGGGTTCGTCAAGGATGTCCCTTGGCGCCCTACCTATTCTTGTGTGTGGTGGAGCCCCTGGCTCAGGTGGTGGAGAGGGAGGAGCTCGGGCTCAGCAGAGACAGGCAGCGACTTGGATATCTCGGGTATGCGGATGATACAATGTTGGCGCTGCAAGGAGCAGCTAAGATAATAAAAGCGGAGAAGCTGTTAGACGATTTTGAGAGAGTCTCGGTCTGGCGACGAACAAAAGCAAATCGGTGGTCTTACCGCTCGGGGCGAATCTTGGCGTAACGGATGGCAGCTCTGTCTTCAAATGGGCCGGTGCTGACGAAGCAGAGAGGCTGCTGGGTGTCTGGGTGTCACCATCAAGGAGCGGCTTGCCAACGTGGGAGAGGGCTCTGGAACACATGTCTGGGAAAATTTAAAATGGCAGCTGAAGTATCTCACCACATCAGCCCGAGCGACCGTGGTGAACCACTACATCACTCCGATAGTGGCCTTCCAAGCGCAGGTCTACCCTCCACCTGCAGAGGTGTGGGCTGAGCTTACGCGGCTACTACACGGATTCATTTCCGGGAACAAAGTGTCGACAGCCAGGAGCTTCGCGCTGTGGAGCAAGGTGCTGGTGCATACCACCAGAGCAGCCGGCGGGATTGGAGTGCGGGACCCCGGAATTGTGCTCACCTGTCTGGCTGCACGAAGGGTGGGGCTTTTTCTCATGAAGACTAATAGCCTCAAGAAGTACATCATGACGCAGGCTGCGGAATTACCGATGGGAACAGACACTTTCACAGCGCATGAGAAAATACTGAAACATTGGACGGGACGGAGTGTACGGTGGAGGGAGGCATGCGAAAGCCTGCTGCAGTCCCCGCTCTGCGCACGACTGACAGCGGCGACTAGGGAGGAGATCCTGCAAGAGAAGATAGCCTTCAACAAAGCTCTTCTGATAAATGGGACTACGCCGCTTGGCGGGCGAAAAGCGGCGCAAGGACTTTGGAAGGTGCGGCTGGGCGATTTACTAGAGCAAGTCGCAGACGGCGGTCTAACTCAGAGACCTATGGAGGAGCTGTCTCTGCAGCTCGGAGGGAGCGCTCCTGCAAGGATGGCACTGAAGGTGCTGAGTACAATTCCCGCACCCTGGTTAAGGGTGCTTGGCTTCCCAACAGTGCTTCCCCGCTCGGCTGACTCAACCCCCCAACTGCCTATTCTGGAGAACGGGCAGGTCATTGCCTTGAAGCGGATGAGGGAGTGCTGGACGGGGCCTCATAAGGAGTCATACAAGAGGGAGAAATGGGCGGCGAGATGGGGAGGTAGTATCGACTGGAAAAGAGCGGTGGACACAAGGGATTCTCTGGTGGTTCCCAGCCGTCCGAGGGACGTGCTCTTGAGAATCCACGGCCTCAATCTGCAGGTGGGAGAACGCCTGGCTTTTCTCAGCAGCAAACCCATCTGCCCGTACTGTGGAGGGGAAGAAACTTTGGAGCACTGCCTCATGCTCTGCCCGCGGATTCAAGTGGTCTCGAGCGCCCTCAAGCGCGCTGTGCATGCTTAATCCCAACCGCACAACGACCTCGTTGGGGGACTTGCTGTTCCGGAAAACTGGCACTAGCTCTGCATTCCCGGAGCTGACGCTAACGGCAATCACGTTTCATCAGTTATGGCTCGAGCGGTGTGATGCCGTTTTTTGGGGCAGCAAGTTTCGGACGCAGCGGGTTCTCAGGAAGATAGAGTTCGCATTTCGGCAACATGCCAAGCTGTACACTCGGAAAATCGGGATGACGTGGCGAAAGCAGAATCACCGGTGTGTTTTGGATGAGCGGGACATGCTGCAGAAGATCAAACTGGATGGCAAGGAGTGGAAATGGACGAGCAGTTTCGCAGCAATCTGGTCTCATCGGAGGGCACGTCCCATCAGGCCCTAGACTGTCCCCTCTGGAGTGGAAACTCGTTTCTATCTCCTCAAGCACGGTTACGACCGTTTTGTTTGTATATGCTTGCCCACTGGTGTATACATGCATTATCATAAAAAAAAAAAAGTAAACGACCAATCATGCGCGGCCATTAATGGTTGGGCGCATCATACATTAATGCCCGATCATATATTTCCGCGATCATAAACTGCAATGCCTGGGCGTCAATGCGCGGGACCTTTAATGACCGCACATGATTGATCAATTATATCCGCCGGTGCATTTTTTTTGCAATGCGCGTCCAATGAGACGCGGTCATGTGGGGTCACGAAGATCGGATATCGAAGATCGCGCAATTATCAATACAGAGGTTTCGGGGATACAAACCCTTGTAGGGTAATGCGCCGGGTAAAACAAAACCAGCGGGAATCCCCTGGCGCAATTATCACTGAAATGGATGGCCACGTGAGCAATTTGAGGCCCGTGGGCAAGAACGAATCACCAAACAAGGTTCTGGAGCAATTCCCTCAAATGGTTGGGTAGGAAATTCAGCAGCACGGTTTTTCCAGGGTGAGCTTGAGAAAGTATAAAACAAGACTCGTCGTTTATCAACGGAAGGGTTGCGTAGGAGCTGCATTTTCAAGGTGTGTGCGTCGTGTACACATCCTTCCAAAAAAAAGATATAAATTGCTGAAATTATGTCATGGAAGTAATGAAGAACATGTACAAATCCTTTATAATAATGTTTCCCATATTTATGCTTCATTTTCATTCATTACCTATGATGTTCGTCTTCCAATATAATAAGCATTGTAAAATACAAGTTTCTTATATGTATATTTGCTTCCTCTGCTTCGACAATCATATGGATGCCTTTATAATATTAATATATTTTTTATTTCGGTTGTATTAACAATAATAATTCATGTATCATTGTTCTACCGCGTAGTGTGGACCACAAATGTTGTTC